AACATCTAGCGAGTGTTATGTCTTTTTGTCTGTGTATAAATGTTTAAAAGTTAGTTATTTACTTTATTTAATATAGGGGAAATGACGGCTTCGGCATGACAGACTATTTTCGGCAACCCAAATTAAAAAGGGTTATTTCACTAGATTTTCTTAAGAAAACACTTCGCTGAATGCATTAAAACTATTCATTAGGTTTTCAGCTTCAATTTGATTATATGTTTACCACTGAGAAAAAGTAATCTAGCAGGGTTTTCTTGAAATGAAACACACTCACTACAAAATGCTGCTGATTTCGAGTTGCCGATGAAAACACACCTGTTTAACACGCAGCTCAAATAGAAAGGTTGCCGAATAAAAAGAGGTTGCCCACAATAGTCGCTCTCTTTAGAGAAGATTGGAGCATTGTAAAAGCGTTTCAAAACAGCTTTTGATAATTCTTTCGACTGAAATTGTTAGAGCAGCTGGCAGCAAAAGATTGTAAATAAACCAATACTGCATATGTGTGCGTTCCTTAGAGAAAAAGGCTATAGAAAGACGGTTGCTGCTTAGGTTGCCGAGAATACGTAAATTCCCCTATTTAAATGTTTTAAAGTTAATTATATTTATACTAAATATAGCTTAAAATTAAGTTTTTTTTTCTGTGTTATAGTCAGCGACACATGTGTGGAAGAAAAACTATAACAGCTTCTTCACCACACGTTGGAGCAAATCGACGATGCAAACGAAGAAACTTTGGATAGCTTCACAGATGAGGAGCTTCTAAACATCTTTGACGATCAAGTGGATATGGACGGAAGTACCGGAAATGCTGAGTATAATAAAAAATTCTAGGATGATGCCGGTTCAAAAAGCGATGCAAGCATGTTCATTACATCACTAGTTCCCATAGTTGCCGAAACGCTGTGCCGGCCGATAAGGATACAGATAATGACCGAAACTGCTGAGCTTGCCTTTCGGGAGAAAGAATATATTGAAGAGCAAATTGAGAAACTGTTGCCATCGGAGTTTACGAAATATGGACGAGACATACGGGTTCAGTACAGTATGTTGTTAACTATGGTGGACGGGAAGATTTGTTGTTTCACTGGGACAAAATCGTCCCAAAGATGTTTTTTCTGCCTAGCAAAGCCTACAGAAATGAATGATATAGACATAGTTCGACAGCGTAAAGAGAATGAGACTGCATTTCAGTATGGACTATGTCCTCTGCACGCATGGATTAGATTTTTCGAGTATTTTATGCATGTTGCATAGCGACTTGCAACGAAGAAATGGCAGTCCCGTGGAGAAGATAAACAGAAAATGCTAGAACAGAAAAAGAAAATCCAACAGCGTTCGAAGGTAGAATTGGGTATGAATGTGGATCAACCACGATCTGGTGGATCTGGAACATCGAATAATGGAAATTTAGCTCGAAATTTTTTTGCGAACGCTGAATAAGTAGCAGACATTACTAAACTAAATCTCACAGCAATCCAGCGCTGTGGTTCAATTCTCCAATCTATAGGATCAGGTTGCGAAATCGATTCAATATCATTTGACAACTATTGTGTTGAGACAGCACGCTTGTTGGTGAAATTATATCCCTGATACTATCTACCAGCAAGTGTCCATAAGGTTCTTATACATGGGTCTTCCATAATTGACCATTTTATGGTACCAATAGGACAACTCTCAGAAGAAGCGCAAGAGGCAAGAAATAAAGATTGGAAAAGGTAGGTAAATACAAGCTTCATGATGTAATTATTTTATTGAAATATTTTTACCCATCCAACAGATACCGAGAATTTAAACACCCGAAAGCATTCAAGACAAGCTACGAATCGTGATCTTCTGAACATACTACTAGTGTCTTCTGATCCAGTGATCACAAGTATTCGAGGATGGCCGAAGAAAATCGAAAAATCACTGTCGGATGACGCGAAAAGCCTTTTGAAAAGTTTTTCTTACGATAGTGAGAATGACAACGAGAACGACAACGAAACCAAAAGCGAAGACGACAGCGATTCATGAAATAGACATGTTGAAAAACTTTTATTATCAGTTAAATTTAATTAAATTAAATTGAAACCATTTAGCGTGCCGTATTTTTTACTATAACGAAGAAAAAGTTTTAACACGAAACATACCTTCCAAAAGCTTACATTCACAGATTTTTGCTATCATTTTGAAGTAAATTTATTAAAATGTCAGATGCACCATGGGTATTTTGCCCCATTTTGCCCCTTGCTAAGTTACAAGTTCATAAATTATGGTATAACAATCTAAAAAAACTTCAATAACTTTTACTTACTTACTTACTTTTATACTTTCTACAGAAGATACTGCAATGCGATGTTGTACAATATTGTGTATTTTGTTATTATCTACAACTTACTAGAACATAGCCAAGCCGTAAAAATGTAGACCAACAAGTTATGATGAGAAAACCATTTTTGAAGGACCGTCGGCAATAAACGTCACATATCTTGAAAAGTAAAAAAAGATATTAATTAAGCGACTTCAACAAAGTTCTTTGTAAAGAAATTTTCTACAATTTTGTCGAAGACACCAACACTGTATCTTAAATAGTAGAAAAAATAAATTTTCGATCTCACTTTTAGGGGGATTAATCTTTTAACTTAAAACATCAAAAGAAGCGCAGTAACATATTGAAACACTTCTCTGGAGACACCATATCTCTTAATTTCATGATAAAGGAGCTATTAATAAAGCGCACGAAAATGCCGATTTCAACCACTGTGCATTGGTTTCATTTACAACGCCTTTTAGAATTTTGTCCGTTTTTTAGGAGCCGCCCCTCTGTGCAGCGAATTTTTGACTACATTTGTATATGATATTGCCTACATATATCCATCAGCATTTAAAAGAAGCTAAACTGATTTTATAAGCAATGGCCATAGTTTTAAAGGAATGTTTCCTTTATCATGTGGTATTGATTGAGCAGAGGTGAGCTTTTGTTTTGCGAGAAATCGACGATTGAAGTCATTGTTAACAAATACAGTTTTGTCCTAATTAAATGTTGGCATCGATATCGTCTTTTCGAAAATTGATTAAAATTCTTCTTAGAAATGCAAAAATTAAATTAAAAAATCAACTTTCTTTTGATCTTCCAAAATAAAAACAAATGATTTAGTATTGTCAAGTTGATTAATCATGGATTCGGGTGGAATCTAAATCAATCTAGCTTTGATTAAGTTATCGATTTATTCTATTTAACTTTGAACGACCAACTGAGTACTTTCACCATTGTAAACCGACATGTGTCTAAGCCTTTATTTTTTTTTACTAAGACAATGATACTAGGTTGAAAAGATCGCATTCCAACCAACGTCATCTGTAAGGAGAATTACTTGCACAGGGGAAATGCACCATTTTAGGAACATTCCAAGCAGTGTTGGAAAAGTTCACGATATTTCACGAAGTTCACCAAGGGAAAAGTTCGCGAGTCATAGTGATTTTTTGCGAACTTTTCCATCACTGATTCCAAGTAACAATTTTGGTTTTAAGAAGGTTCTGTAGACTTGTGGAATGCTGAAAAACCACCTCGATAAAACATGTACTGTTTCTTGGGATATCTTCTTCAATAAATTCAAACGCTGAAGTCAACTGCAATTCACCCGTGCAAATTTCGCAATACGTTGCAATGAAGTGCTCAAATGGATTTCCGTACGCAACGCAGCTTGAAAGAATAATAAACACTTCAGAAACATTCGTCATGACCAACGCAACATGTTTAGTGGGTAGCAATTGAAATTTAATTTAAGTTTACGACCTGTGAGTGTTTTTGTGTGGAAAACCATTCACCACCGCGTCCCAACTGACCAACGTCATCCGCGTCTGGGAAGGAAGTTTTCTTCCTCGAATAAACACTTCCACCCGCGGCAGCTGATTTGAATATTTGCTTGCGAAAGTGGCGTTGCTCTTTGCCCTCCAGTAAATGACGACAAAGTATCTCTTTGAAATTTTACAACCATTCGAAAAACAAAAAATGCCGTCATAAAACATACTTGCAGTTGACCAATTAGTGACGCCAGCTTACCGAATCCGACGAACTGCAATATGAAGGGGAGAATGGTTCGAAACGCCCCCTCAGGATAGAACTCACTTTTTCATTTTATTCTGAGTTGTTCTTGGCATTTTTGATCCAATTCTACACTCATAAAATATATCACATAACCAGTGGAAAATATCCATGTGAATTTCACATAACTTTCATGTGATCACATAATTGGAAATTGCACCTCTAAATCACATGAACGTTATGTGTCCAATGAAATCTATATGATTTCTCATATAGAATTTTTAATGCTATGTGATATTCAGGTAAAAATCATTGTTTTTGTTTTTGGAAAAATACTATGTGCGTTCCTAATGGAAACTAAGTGAAAACTTTTTTCAGTGTAGGATTAATCATGCAGCATTTTGAGTTCAGATGCTATGCTGCTACAAAAAAGCCAAGGGGCAAGGCAGCTTAGAAATATTTGAAAACACCATCAGATTTTTCTAAATATCAACCGAAACATTTGAGTGTTTTTTTTTCAAAGACGAATGCACGTAACATATAAATCTTTTATGCTGAACAATGCCTTGAAAAACACAAATGAAAATCAGCTGGCACGTTTAGCCCAATGAGTGCATTTTGTACCATTGTCCCCTACGTTGCCCTCCTTGATGGGAAATATGGGATCGGGAAGTGGGCGAATGCGAAAGGGGGTGAACTTCAGAACCTCCGACTGACGCCATCGTAAATCACACTCGCTTTCGAAAATATCACCCTCACGATTTTGACCTTGAATATGCTGTGGGGTGATCAACGCTGCCCGTTGACAGCTAAAAGCAATCGCCTAAATATAAAGAAACCATCCAAACTCGCTAGTCTTCGCAATTATATCAGTGCAGCAAGTGCACAAAATGCCTGTCACTCGAGCTTGTAAAACCGCATTTGGGTTGTTGGCATTTTCGACAGGTTGAATAATGCAATCATTCCGCCTACTCACCGTCAAGCCCCTCTCGAAGTCATCTAACGCGGCCAGATTATGTCGGGCTCCATCGGCGTTCTCGCCGTACTGCCCGCGACCACGGTTCACCTGTTCCAGCTTTTCCCGTATCTCCCCTCGAACTTCATTCAAACTTCTATCGAACGCAATCACCGCGTGCTGCTTTCTCAGCTCGGAGTTCTCCGACTCGGTCTGCGTTTCAAAGTACGTCCGCAGATTCTCCAGCAACGTAATAATCTTGTCCGTGTCCTGTTCCTTCGCCCCGGGAGGTTCCTGCGCTTTGATCCTCTCGATGATCTGCTCGCTCTGCTGCAGCAGATTCCGGAAGTACTCCATCGTGTTCTGTTTGAACTGTTCATAACTGTTGGTGATCGATTCCACATTGTCCGGACCGGAAATGGGTTGCTTGTTTGCGAAATAGTCCTTGATATTGTCCCGACACGTTAGCACGGACCGTAGGAACCGATCGACAGCGGAGGCGAGCTCTTGGAAATCGGCCGCGATCGTGTGCAGTTTGGTTTTGATCGAGTTCAAACTGTTCTTCACTTGAATCACTTTTTCACTACCCTCCGGTCCGTCGGTGTCGAGTTGATCAATCGTTTCGAACCGATTCGTCAGTTCACTTTCCGCCGACCGGATTTCCGACTGGATTTGACTCAATTTGGTTGCGATAAATGCACTCAGATCGGCTGGATTATCCGACGCGGTGTTGAAGATTGGGTACAGTTGCTCCTCCAGTTTGGATGCAGCTGCGAGAGTCTGGAATTTTAATCGAAAAAGATCATTGGAATTGAATTGAAAAGGAAGATCACTCGATCGTGGTACAAACCTCCATGTTGGCGGCCATGATGTCGTTCAGCGTGGCGTCCGTATGCTGTTGGGCGTTCCAGCGTTCCCACTCATCGGCGGCGGTCAACTGGCGCGCGTTCAGCTCGGTGAGCGTCCGATCGACGCACTGAGCTGCGCGAGCTTTCTGCAGATACGGATCGGCGACCTGTTGGCCAGAAATAGAACAAGAAGAAAATACGTTCAGAAATTTTGCCATCTCCGCAGGAACAAGGCTCCCCCCCTTTCGGTGGTGGGTGTTGATGGTATTGGTTTTGTTTGTTGTTGTTTCGGATATTATTTGCATTTAAACAGCTGCTAGAGGAATAGCATTTCGCTGATGGGCCGTCAAACGGTGGTGTTTTGATTGTGCGGGGCCACCACGGTGTGGGCCACTTCCTACGCTCGGGTGCAGCTGTTCGGTAGACGGGATGAATGATAGACGGATGGACAGGAAACGCTGTTGAGCTATGGTGGTGGTAGCGCGCAAATCGTTTGAGTGTCGATATCTTCATTGTTGCAATGAGGGGTTCGGTTTAAACAAGTAGGGCAAAATAATTATTGACAGATGAAACTTAATCAGATATTTTTGTAAAACTAACTTATTACTATAATGCATATAAAGCACCAAATTGTAGAGAGATTTTCTGTAGGGAATTAAATAAGTTTAAGAAGTTCCTTAAGAAGAAAGGAAGAATTTGGTTTATTATCATTTGGTCGAACGGGTTATTGGTCCTACATGTTAATATTGTTTATTCACATTTAATCATCTCTCTTCAATGGCTTTATTACGTCCGCACAGGGACTTTACACTGGCTCTCAAATTAAAGCGAATTCATTTACTTTTCAGTTCCAACCTGGATCTGGTATCAATATTGGGTCTGCTTGTTTTCTGAACGTCAGTATCTGTCAGTATGAACGTTTTTTAAAACTTACCTCAGGTTGATGTTCGCGCTGACATAAAGTTCGATTTTGTACTGATTCCAACCTCGACAGTATACTAATTCGCTTTAAGTGATTGTTGAGCACTTCCACAGTTGTAAATTCAGATCTTTGTAAGCCTGTTTTATTTTTCCATTAGTATGTAATAGGTCTGTTCCCGTACTTGCTTTTCTGTAAGATTCTGTACACAATTTTAAATCTGGCTTCCAGCCAAATTAGTTGGTGAACAGTGACAAGCAAATTTTGTTTACTGTGAATCCAGTAAACGGAAAGCATTTGCTTCAGTAAAACTGACAAAGTGTTTAAAGATCTTGGTTAGAATTAAAAAATTGTTGCTATGAAGGCAATTACTGGTAAGCGTGATAACCTCTCACCCCAGCAGGCCTGGGTTCAATCCCAGTCGGCGCCGCCGGGATGTTGTGAGGCATAACATCTCTGATCACGCCTAAGGGAAGTTAAGCCGTTGGTCCCCGGTTCATGTGGTCCAGGTGTGGGAGCTGCCTCTCTGGCGTCGGTAGCATTGGTGCTCAGCACGGAAAACAAGATCAAAAGAAGGAAATAATGAATGTTCCCAAAATGTTCCGAAATCTGCCAGGTAAGTAAAAAGCAGAAGGATTCCTGTATATATAAATTGTTTTGGTGTTGTATAGCTTGTATTTTTCAGATAGAAGCGAGTTCAATGCATGGTCGATCTGACTGGGAATACGACATTTTCTCTGAAAAGCTTGCATCACGGAAAAAAAAAACGCTGTAGAAAATTACCCGTGGGGTAGTTTCTCTTGAAAATTTGGGTAAAAGTAGTTTAGAGTGCATTGTTAACACTGTATTTTTTATCGCTGTCAGTTTTTCGAAAGTTGGGAAACGTGGCGAATTGGTTTTGCGCAAGCACATGGAAAATCCTCAACTTTCTCATCGGGACATCGGAAAACGACTCGGAATCGTGCAGTCAACGGTGAGTCGTGTGATTAAACGTTACTACGTTTAAGCGGAATCCCATTGCTTCGGTCAGGGATGTAGCCCAAATGTTGAATCTGTCCAAGTCTTTCGTTCAGAGATCCATGGACCGGAAGGGACTGCATACGTACAAAGTGCAGAAGGCTCCAAATCGTGACGAACGGCAAAATACGGTGGGAAAGTCATGAGCCCGGAAACTGTACACTCAGATGCTGGCGAAGTCTCATTGTCTCATCATGGATTATGAGACTTACAACAAGGCGGACTTCCGGCAGCTAATTTTATTCACAAAAATAGTATTAGAAAACATTCCTGGACTTTCAGCAAAACAATCGGGAATCATTTTTTTGCTGGAAAATCAGCAATAAATCGCTGACAGTACAACAAATTGCTGTAAATTTTATGACAGTTTAAGTTGCTGAACGTTCAGCAAAAATAGTTTTACTGGATGGATTGCTGGTTCGGTAAAATCCAGAAAATGTAAAAATATGTTTCCGTTCTTGCTGCACCATATTATTTTCTAACAGCAACTTACAGAAAGCTACAGCACAAAAAGAAAAATAGGAACAAACCGATTTTGTGGCAAGCAGAGCCGTACTCAGGATTTTTGTTTAGGTGGTTGGCTCTAATTTGTGTGCCCTTCTCCCTTGCTGTTGAATTTTTACAATTTATGAATGCCCATTTCTCGTAGCGAAGTTGAGGTATCCTTCGCTGCGCCTTTTCAACCACCACTGGGTCAACCCATGTTCAGCATGTAGCCGCACCGAGACTCTTCCGAGTGCCCATTCATGGAAGCAACGTTGAGGTTTTCCTCGCTGCGGCCTTCCAATCTGTCGCAGACACCAGTTCATCCCCTGTCCAGCAGCGGACGGACCGAGACTCTTGCGAGTGCCCAATCATTGAAGCGAAGAATATGAGATTGTCCGGTCCGATTTGCTGATCCAGCTGCCTACATATCATCATCATCTTCCATCTGTATACCATCGGCCTTTTTCACGGCCACCAAGATTTTCCAACAGAGTTCAATTTCTGAATATGTCCCAATTAAAATTAATATCGAAAGGTTCTTTTCAGGGCAATCATAGTCATACTAAAGAGTACAAACAGAGGGAGTCCCGCTAATATTCCTATTCCTACACAAAACACAAGCTCCTGCTGCAGCTAAAAAATAACATTTATTATACAAGATCACGTAGTCTTACGTCACCATTGCGTACAACCCATTAGTGTTGTCCCTTGTAGTTTTTTCCTTGATTTGAATTCCGTCTATCTTGTTTTCCGTACTGAGTACCAATCAGCGTTGCCAGAATGTTTTAAAGCTTATCGGTATCGAAGGTTTTAAAAAAATCGGTATTTATCGGTATTTACTATTTGAATCAAGCAAAAATTTTAACTTTTGGACTATGATCGGAAAATTGCGGAAGAAAACTCTGGGGAATGTTTGAATTAGCTTCTGGAATAAACTGAAAACAAGAGCCAAAGAAAAAAGCTCTCCCGGAGGAAATTTTAGGTAGGTTCTGAGAGAAGTCGGAAAAACATCCGCGGAACTTCCAAGACATAAATTGAGAAACTTCTGGCGAAAATTTAAAGAAACTCAGAAAAAAGAATCGGATTACACATTCAAAGGATGGCAGAAAAGTTTCGGAAACCGGAAATAAATTCCAAAAGTAGCCATTTCCAGTGGAAGCCAGAAGCAGCTCGGAAAAACCTTCCGAAAGAAGTCAAAAAAAAAAAACAACTGGACAAAATTCCAGAACTAAACGAAAGAAATTTCTGCGAGAAGTTTCATTGAACTTCCTGGAGAAGACGGTCCAAATTTCTTGGAGACGCTGGCAGAAACTTCCTAAGGTAGATTGGAAAAAAAAACTGGAGAAAGTCGGAAGCCAGAGCGCTTACGGAACTGTCGAAAGAAACAAGGACATAATTCCGGAAGAAAGAGCTCTTGGGGGATGTTCTAATGATCAAAAAAAAAATTCAAATGGTCATAAGACATCCCTGAAGACCCCGCAATGCCCCTGAAGTTTTTGGAACATTCCTGAAATGTACTTACGAATAATCCATATATTCTCGAGCTATTTTGGAGTACTCTGATCATCTTTGAAATACTTGGAACTTCCCTGATTATGATGAGACTACCGGAATATCTCTTATCAACTTTGAAGGTTTCTAGACTTTCTTGAAGATTACGAAATTTTTTAAGTTCTCTCACAATTTTCTTGAATTTATGGTAACATCAGCATTGAAGTTCTCCGATCTTCCCGATTTTTCTAATTTTTAAAAATTATCGACACTGCCATCAATAAGCACGGAGCTTCCGATAAAATGTTCTCATAATGTGCTAATGTTCGTGTAACTTCCCTTACGTTTCTTAAATTTGTATGAGCCCCTTGGAACATTGCTGAAGTTTTCGGCAATTGCCTGAGTTTCTCGGAACTCCTTTAAAATTTCAGCGATTTCCTTGAATATTATTGATCTGATCTGATGTTCTCGAAGCTTCCTAATGTTCTATCAATTCTCCTGAAACTAATGGAAGTGTCCTGAAAACCATTAAATTTTCCAGACGTCCTTTGGCCTTGTGAAGTATCCAAAATATTTATGATGTCTCGTTAAGTTCACTGGAGTTCGCTGGACGGGGTTTTAGAATTTTAACAGAAGTTACTTTCTTTAATTTATCGAAACTTACTCAAAAGTCTGAACTTTTCGGAAGTTTCAGAACTTTTTTAAAACTTCCTGCAGCTAGTGTGGATCCACAATCAAAATCTAGAAGCATCCCTGAAGTTCCGGGAGGAATCTTCCGAGTGAAGGCTGAAGAAGCTTTCAAGAGAAGTCGAAATAAGTTTCCGAGAGGAATCGTAAATAGAAAATTCCAGGGGAAAGATGGAAGAAAATCCAGGAAGTTAAATAATGTTTAAAAAGTATTTCCCGATTCTCCTGGAATTACCAGAAAGAGCCATCGACTGTTTATCGATTCATGGGTAGCCAAAAACGGTGGGGAAATTGAAACATTAATCGAAAGAGTATCTATAAGACATTTTTAAAGATGATTTTCTTTTTAATTTTAAAGACTCAAAATTTGTTAGATATTCAAAAAGATATAAGTCTCACACAAAAATTTTGATTTTGATTATTTAAAAAATCGGTATATATCGGTATAACACCTCAAAAATCGGTATTCTGAGGAACCTTATCTGTGTATCAGTATCTAGTTCGGAAATCGGTATAAATACCGATAAATCGGTATATCTGGCAACGCTGGTACCAATACTACCGACG